GGAAGCGGGAGGCCACCACGTCCTCCTGTGAGGAGCATCTCCGCTTCTACGAGAAGAGACTCCAGGACAGATGGTTGGCGGCCGTGGTGGCAGAGAGGAAGCTCATGGAGCTGCAGGTAGAGAATGAGCGCACCAGGAGGCTCCTGGCTGACGTGGAGTTCGGGGTCCAGCCTTCCCCGAGTTGCCCGTTTTTTCCTGCAGCTCCACCTGTTCTAACGTGACTGTGATCGTCACTGTGAGTTCAGCTGCTGCTCACTTACCGATGCAGTCTGCTCTCACTGACGTTTGCTCCAGCACCGGAATTCATAGCAGTGTTATAACATATAGATTAGTTAGTTACATTCCCAGGAATCCATTTGCTCATTACAGGATCCTTTAGACTACGTAGTATAAGTGTTGTGTTTTGATTTTAATAAAGTCTTCTTTTTATTTAAACCATCTAAGTTTGAGACAGTCATTTAAGACAATAAAGTTCCTCTTTGTATAGTATATGTTCTTACGACAGCTACTCATCCATCAATGTTTACGTCAATAGATTTTGATTGTTCTAAAAAAAAATGATCAAGGAGCCATAAGCTGGTATGCTGGTTAAGGTGTAGGACCCCAAAATGGGTAACTGCAGTTCAAGTGTGAGACCTGGGGCTTGCTCTCTCACTTTCCCTCCTGCTTCCTCTCTGGTCCAATTAAAATAATAGTAATAATAATAATAGTAATAATAATAAATAAAATAAATAATTCTTAAAAGAAATAAATATATATGTAATAGATAACCAGCAGGTGGCATGGTGGTTAAGGCACTGGACTCTCCCACATGGCTGTGATTCGAGTCCCAGACCTGGTGGCTTGCTTTCTCACTCTCTCACTCTTATGTCTCTCTCTGGTCAAATTTTTAAAAAATGAATAAATGAATAAAATTAAATGATTAAAAATAAGTAACAGAAAGCCTTACCAAAAATAACATAATTTTTTAAAAAATGTATTTGCCTAGGGTATGTGCACTCAGAAAGAGACAGAGAATGAATGTAAGAAGGCACTCCCTGGGAGTGATGGTCACATCGCAATCCCTTCTCCATTTCCCCTTTGGGATCTGAGGCATGCTCACTCATGTTCTTGGTGTGTTTTCAAGTCTGGAACATGAACTGTGCAGTTGGCCATATTGGATCCAGCCACCTTAACCATCATGCCACTGGCTAGCTTTAGTCTTTATTCTCAAACACTTCTGTTGTCAGATGTTTGTTATTTAAATCTATCTGAATGTTTAAATTATTACCCAAATGAAGTTTAGTAAACTCCATTAAATTATGTAGCCAAAATGAAGCTTAGTCTTCTATGGCAAACACACAGACACACACACACACACACACACACACACACACACACACACGCACACACAGAAGCACATCTAGGCATGGGCCCTTCTAGTTGTTACATCAGTGTCTGAGGTAAAATAAATGTAAAATAACCGAGACGCAGGTTTGTACAGACACACATCCCCAGCTGTGGAGGAACACGGACAGCCCCACTGCCTGTGGGTGCAGGGCCCGGGCCAACCTGAACATGCTGGGCAAGGCTGCAGCTGCCTGGGACCCTGGCTAAGGAGAAGGCTGGGCAAGGAGATGGGGACACAGCAAGACCCATTAAAACACCCCTCTCTCTCTCTCAAAAAGGAGGAAAAAGTATCCATATAAACATAAGAAAGTATCCCTAACTTACCTGCACACAGACATGTCAGGCACGTTCCTGCAGGTAACCTTTCATCCTGATGGTGCGGGAGAAGACACCTGGATGCGGCTCCCTGAGCTGTGGGCAAGGACGGGCTTGCTCGAGCAATGATGAAGGACGGAGCAGCACAAGTGACAAGAAAACACGGTCCGGCACTAGACCTGGAAGGAGAGAGGTTGTGTGGTCAGAGCCCAAGGAGGAGCTGTCAGGGGACCTGGGAGAACTGGAGCTGAAACACACAGGAATGTGCAGGGGCTTGTTGCTGAGCTAGGACGGCTCCCTCTTGTCCCTGCGATCAGCTGGGGTGGGTGGGAGGTCAGGGTAGGCTCTCTGGAGGAGGTGACCTGGAACTCAACACTTAAGGATGAGTTGGAGTTCCCTTCACTGCTCTTCAGATGTGAAGGGCTGGGCAGTCACGTGGAGATCTCGTTACTAACCTGGTCAGTAGCCAACAGGGCTTGTTGTGAGGATGACACCCTGCCTGTCTCCCATGAGAGTGCTATGGTGCCCCAAGACATGGAATCGTGGGGTCTGAACATAACCCTGGGGCAGGAGTCAGGGGAAGAAGGGGCTGGGCATTCTGGGGAGAAGGAAGAGCACAGGCAGAGATGCCAGGCACCCAAGCCTGGCCTTGGAGGGGCTCTGTGTTCTGTGCTCAGTACCAGCAGGCAGGTCAGCATGGGGGCAGACTCAGCCCCCCTGGAGCAGCTGTACTCTCCCTGTTCCCCACAGAAACCCTCACAGCTGCCATGGACGGATCTCGTCCTCAGGACACGCCTGCTGCAGAGGCTCACGAGGAAGCACAGACCATGGCCACCCTTGGAGAAGCCAGCCACAAGGGGTACTTACTCCAGAATCCCCCTGGGGATAACAGCCCATGTTCCTGTAGATGTTCGGCCAAATACCTGGAATCCCGTCTGACTTGGCCCGGCTCCCCTCCCTCAGGAGTTCTCAGAAAGTCCTCCTTCACCTCTCTCCACGCTCCTCTGTGCACATGGGTTCCCACCATTACGGTGCAAACACCATGACCTCTCCCCAGGAATACTGCCCCTGCTGGTTTCTGGCAAACTATCTCTGGCTATTCTATTCATTACAATGAAGGGCAGAAGCTGGAGATGGGGGTTTATTTCTCCAACTTGGTTTCAGGGAGCAAGCACTCCCAAACTGTCTCAAGAAACTAAGTGGGACCGACAGATAGTGTAATGTTGACATTGCTGGTTTCCCATTGAGTTGATTGTGGTTCAAGGCCTGGGGCTAGAGATTTAAAACACATGCTGAGTGTCTGTGTGCTTGTCCAAAACTCAATGAGCAAAATGGAGGACAAGTGATAGTGGTGTGGCCATCCCCCCTGTGGGAATTGCTCTCTTTCTTCCTCTGTCTCTCTGTCTCTGTCTCTTCAGTGAGCACATGGTCCCTATAGCAAAAACAAAACAAAACAAAAACAAAGAAACAAAAAACATCTTAGTTTATGCCCAGTATTGATAAACACAAGCTTATGCAAGTGATCCTTCATTGTAATCAAAGACAATCAATCTACTTTGAATAAGTATCCTTATTACTATTTTTCTTAAAATAATCATTC